CGGGGGTTGCGGGGGGGGTCCAGAGCTCCCGAGGCGGCCCGAGCCCGCCCCGAAGCAGGCCACGACAGGCTAAGGGGGTCCCGAGAGGGCCCAAGACGGTCCCACGAGGCCCCGAAGACGCCCAAGATGCCTTCAAGACAGCCGACGAGGACTCCAACACGCTCCAGGACGGACTCAAGAGGCTCCCCAAGAGGGCTCTGGAAGGCAAGATTCACTCGTTTTCCGAGTGTTTTGGATTTTGGCGTTCTCGCTTTTCCCGCTTTCCAGCGCTTCCTCACGGCCTCGGAGGCCTTTCAGCTCGCTCCAAGAAGGCCCACGAGGCCCCGACGAGGGCCCCAAGACGGCTCAGGATGCTCCCCAGACAACCCAAGTGTGCCCCAAGAGCGCGCCAGGAGAAGGCCCAGAGGGGTCCCGAGGCGGCCCGGGCCCGCCCCGAAGCAGGCCACGACAGGCAAATGGAGGTTCCGAGAGGGCCCTAGACGCTCCCAAGAGGCCCCGAAGACGCCCAAGCTGCCCTCAAGACGGCCGACGAGGACTCTAACACGCTCCAGGACGGACTCAAGAGGGTCCCCAAGAGGGCCCTGGGAGGCAAGATTCACTAATTTTCCGATGGTTTTTGAAGGATTTAGGAGTTCTCGCTTTCCCCGCTTCCCAGCGCTCCCTCACGGCCTCGCTCGAAGGCCCTTCAGATCGCTCCAAGACGGGCCACGAGGCCCCGAAGAGGGCCCCAAGACGACCCAGTAGGCTCCCCAGACAACCCAATTGTGCCTCAAGAGCTCCCCAAGAGAGGCCGAGAGGGGCACCGCCAACCGATATTTCGAGGTCTCTGGCCCCAGAGGCCGCCTGTAGGCCCCCGGAGGCCACCAAGAGGCTCCCACGAAGCCCCGTGAGACGCCCAAGAGGCCCCCAGGAAGCCCCAAGAGACCCCCAAGGGGTTCCCAGGGAACGCCCAAGAGGCCCCCCAACACACCCCAAGAAATCATGTCCCCAGAAAACCTCCCGGGGACATGGTTCATCATGGGCCCGAGAGTTCCCGGAGGCCCCCAAGGGGCCCCCAGGGAACGCCCAGGAGACCCTCCAACACACCCCAACAAACCATGACCCCAGAAAGCTTTCCGGGGACATGGTTCATCATGGGCCTGCGAGTCTCCGGAGGCTTCGAAGTACCATCATGCTACAGGAGAGCTGTCTGGGAAGTTGATTGGGAACATGACTGATCGCCTTCTCGCGGCCCTCCGCAGATCGTTTCGTACAAAGTTGCCCCAAGTGCCCTCTTGAATCGACGACGACGACGACGACGACGACGACGACGGCACGCCCCAACAGGCTCCCCAAGACGCCCCAAACCCATGCTCCCAGAAGGCCTTCTGGGAGCCCGATTCATACGGCCTCTGCCCCCCTACACAACCATTTTCTTCTAAGGCAGTTCGGAATGCAGATTGGCAGGCATGGACTGTGGTCCACTACTTCAGTGGAGCAGTGAATTCGTCAAGACCTGGGGCCTGCTAGAACCTAAGCGCGCGCGAAGCGCGCGCGATGGTTCTAGTGTGTATATATATATATATACGTATGTGAATAATGCCCGCTGCCTGTACCGACATTACTGTTCCACCATCCGCGAACGCAACGTCCACCAATTGCATTGTAGTTATGGCATCCGTCTGTGTGCATATGTTTGCTATACTGCGGCCGTCGTCACACTGCAGGTCGCGCGCAAGCCTTTCGGTTATGGGCATGGTCATGCAATCTCCCATCAGCATTTCGTATAATATGTCGACCAATGGTTGTCCAGGTGCGTAAATCACCATGGTGCGTGGTAGCACTGCTCTACGGAGGACCCTGCTCGTGCATCGCTGACGGAGGTAACCCTGCTGCCCTGAGAATGCAAGCAATAGACAGGTCGTCGAGCTGCGATCGCAGCAGTAACTCTCTGATGATCCGGTAGAAGGTCTGCACCACATCCACGAACAGCACACCGTATGAATGATTGCGAGCCGAAAGATGAGCGACGCCTGAGTGGTGCTACGACCGTGTATGCCACCGAACTGTGTGGGCCCCGCCATGTCAATCAGCTGCTGCATGAGTTTGTTTCGCAAACATTTCCTCGAGGCTTTCCCTATCTGAGACGATGCCACAATGGACCTCGAGCTCGAACAGAAATACGGCTTTCTTCCAAATGATTCGGCGTAGTCGTTCGCATTTGCTGCATGCACCGCCGCTGCAAGCTCAAGACTGCCAAAGTGCTGTTGCCAACTCTTTGGTGCTTTCAGCTCGGACGACACTCGTGTGCCTTGAAGATCCTCCTGCAAAATAGGCAACCCCCGCACCATCCGACGACGTCGAGACCCAGCCCCGAGCCTCTAAAAGGCCGCGAATGGAACTGCGAACTGTCTCCGGTCCCAGGCGTCCCGAATACAATGAACGATCGTGTCGCAATGTGCCGTCGAGTCCAGGGAGGTCAAATTCTGAGTCGTAAACGCCGTAGCCCGCAGGAAAACGCACGAGGAATTCTGGAGAAAACCTTGCCATAGCCAGAACCACCGAAACATGTGGTGCAACCTGTTGCAGTCTGGAAACGGCCCTGAGTCCCGTGGGTCCAAGTGCCTGAGCTGCATAGCCACCATATCCGATCCAGATGATCGCGGGTAAGGGGGGAGGTGCGCTCGACTTTTGTCATCCTTCAGCGGCATGGTAAACGCACGCGCAGCTGCCAACACCGACGCACTAGGACCTGCAGCTGCCTCACAGCAGTCATACAGTATCGCATAAGAGGGACCCTCACGATACGAAAAGCTTTGCGTGCACTTACGTACGCAGAACCACTCATGTGCCTCCTTACCGTCCGATGCTCATGCCACGAACACAATCGCAAGTCGTAGCTGATTCAACTTGTGTCGGAGTCGTCGCAAGTCGGCGCGTCCAGTGGAGCGACAGTCCATCAACGAGAGCGAGTGAGCAGACAACCGATCCTACCTAGCTTCCCTTCCTTTGTCCGAACGTTGGTGAATTTGATTGCCTTAGCCACTTCCTGATTCAGAAACTCGGCATACAGTCGGGCTGCTGAAAGAAGGAACGCAAAATGAGGAACGAAGCCCCTTCTTGGCCCTGTGCCTCCGTGCCCCAGGAGGGCAAGAGGAACAGCACTGGAGGAACCTAAGGAACATCGAACCCCTTCCGAACCCAAACTGTTCCTTATTTCAGCGTCTTGATTGTAGTCGTCGGGATGTAACTGAAACTCTGGCTGGCATATGCGATGTCTCGCATCCCAGCAATGGTCAGCATACTCTTGATCATCTAGTTTCTTGGGGTCGTGTGAGTTTGGGGGCCACTTTCGTGTGCCAGCGGGGTTCCCATCTTGTGGCAGCCGCACTTCCGCCATAACCACAAAGTGGTAATCGGCACGTATCGCAAGGTCCACGACAGGATCCAACCCCTTGATCCCCCACGAGCGGTAGCATGTCAACTGGAATTGTCACGTAGTCAATCCTGTGCCTAGGGTTTTGCGGTGCTGCTCCAGGAGGAAGCCAGGTCCCATGGATCCCCGAAGCTGGTTCCAAAAACGTCGACAACGCTGCTTGACCACGTCCCAGGAGCGCGTGAAAGCAACCCCCTGGCATGTTCTCGGTTTCGGCCCCGACCGCGCCGACCGATCCTGTGTTTCGTGGGCCCAGCGTAAGGTTCGCATCTGGCATGCAGTGTTGGGGTGTGGGGTTAGGTCTTGACCGCACCCACCGCTCCAACTGCTTCCACCATGCTTCTACCTCTGTCACCGTCTCACGTGAATGAAGCGCATGTGCGACGAGGACGTCGATACAATCTCTTCCAGCCGAGAAGAGCCCTGCGGCAAGAGAAGAGGCGACGACGACGGAGACTGACACGACAGATGGCGCGGGGAGGGAAGGGAGGAAGCTTGCTGCGTCCCTGAACGTCTTCCTGTTCGTCAGGTACGTCTACACGTGCTTCGCGATCCCGTCGTAGTCCCCGAGGCGGTCGGCATTAACCATCAGCCACTGTTGAAGGTCCCTGTCCTGGATCCCCGCTATGAGGATCGCCGCCTGGATGTCGCTGCGCACCGCGGGGGGGCAGCGCTCGCTTCGCGCTCCCCCGGGCACTCCAGGAGCCCAGGGCCGGCAGCGGGGCGCCCGCGTCCGGCGCCCCGCCGCGGCCGCAGCGCCGGCGCGCCCCCGGAGCGGCGGGGCCGCCCCGGCGCTGCCGGCGGCCAGGCCAGCCCAGGCCTGCGCGCATGCTGGCGCGGCGTGCGCGGCCGCCCGGGCCACCGCGCGGCGCAGCGCCGCGTCGCCGAGCTCCGCCAGCTCGGCCCGCGAGCATGCCGGGCCGCGCCCAGCGTGCCCCGCGTGGAAGCGCCCAGACGGCGGGCGAGAATGCCCGCGCCGCCGTCCAGCGCCCCTGGCCGAGCCACTCGAGGGCCCGCCCCCGCAGCTCTTTTGCCCAGAATGGCGCTCTCGCCCCAGCGGGGGCTTCTTTTCTGGGTCCGGAGCCTTTCTCCATCTTTGTCCCCCCCCCTCGTTTCCCCTCCTCCGCTTTCCCCTGGTCCTCCTGCTCCTCCCGCTCCTTCCACTCCAGTTCCTGCTGCTGCCGTTCGTCCTCGTTCTCGTTCTCATCATCCTTCCTCATCCTCCTCGTTTTCCGCCTGCTCATCCTCGTGCTCACCCGCCAATCCCTTCTTCTCTGTACCCAGCTCCCCTTTTTCCGATTGCGCATAACGTGATGCTTTTGTTGTTTGGAGTTCCAGGTCGGCTATGACACGCGTCCGTGGATAAAGTACATATCAGCGCAAGGGGAAGCGATGGGTGGGAATGACATGATGTCAGATACGGCGCGAGCGCACCTAGCTTGTGCCGCTCCTTTTTCTCCTCGTCTTCATCCTCCTCCTCCTCCTCCTCCTCCTCCTCCCCACCTTCTTCCATCCCTAGCCTAATCATCCCCTCGTTCCCACTGCCTCCGCTTCCCCCGCATTGTGCGCGGGCGGCGTCCGTCAGGACAGCCCTTCGCGACGACGCGGTCTCCTGTGCTGGAGGACCCCCACCGCGGTGCTCAGCGAAAGAACCAAGGACTGGGTCAGAGGGCAGCGGTCCGGACCGGGCGGAGGGGATGGGGGAGGGGAGAGGAGACGACAGAGGAGAGGAGAGAGAGGCAAGCTAGGTGCGCTCGCGCCATATCTGATATCCTGACCCTCCCTACCATCGCTTCCCACTGCGCTGTTGTTCGATATCCGCGGACGCGTGTCATGGCCGACCTGCATTTCCAAAAAGGACACCATCAGTTCATGCGCAATCGGAAAAGGGAGCACATAGGAGGAGGAGGAGGAGGAGGAGGAGGAGGAGGAGGACGAGGACGCGGACGAGAACGCGGACGAGGACGAGGACGAGGACGAGGACGAGCAGGAGGAAAAACGGGAGGATGAGGAAGGAAGACGACGAGGACGAGGAGAAGGAGGAGCGGCACAAGCTAGGTGCGCTCGCGCCGTATCTGACATCATGTCCCTCCCACCCATCGCTTCCCATTGCGCTGACATGTACTTTACCCACGGACGCATGTCATAGTCGACCTGGACCTCCCAACAAAAATACATCACGTTATATGTGATCGGAAAAGGGGAGCTAGGTACAGAGGAGAGGGAAGTGGCGGGTGAGCGGGAGGATGAGCAGGATGAACATGAGGAGGATGAGGAAGGAGGAGGAGGACGACGAGGACGAGGACGAACGGCAGCAGCAGCAATTGGAGTGGAAGGAGCGGGAGGAGCAGGAGGACCAGGGGGAAGCGGAGGAGGGGAAACGAGGGGGGGGACAAAGATGGAGAAAGGTTCAGGACCCAGAAAAGAAGCCCCCGCTGGGGCGAGAGCGCCTTTCTGTGAACGATTGGAGCGGCGCGCCGATCCGAACATTCGGCCCCCGCTGCAGCGGGGGCCCAACACCATGCGGAAAGTCACGCTTGCCCAATCTTGCGTGTAGAAAAGAGGTGCGGAGAGGGCCGAGCATCTTCCGAACCGGGTCAGGGGAGAGAAGGAAGTAGCCTTTCATGTTGTATGTCTGTAGAGGGAGAAGTTGAGAAGCTAAGAGCGCTCGCACTATATTTGACATCCTTCCGCTCCCACCCATCCCCTCCCACTTCGTAGAGCCCCTCTCCATTCGCATCGGGTGTCGAAAAGGACATCGATCCCGAAAGGGTAATGACCACACATCACAGTATTGTAGACCATTGCGTATAGGAGCACGGCAGAGCGTAGCATGACACGGCATGGTTTGGCATTGCGTAGCGAAGTATCGCTCATAGCATCGCGTAGCAAGGATGGCATCGCAGAGCATGGCGGTGCATAACATCACATGGTTTTGCATGCCGTGGCATTCCGTTGGGCAGTATAGCATGTTGTTGCATTATGTATCCAAGCGTTGCATACCACAGCATGCAGAGCAAGGCTGGGCATCACACAGCGGCGTCGCATAGCAGACATGACGCCATGGATGCAGCAGGAGCCCGTTTGAGAAGGACAAGCACGGAAAACAGATCAGCGCCGCAACGAGAGCATCACGTTTCATGATCGGAAACCCGGAATGAGGCCAACACTACTTGCTGCAGCCCGAGTGTGGAATTGATGCCGAAGCCGCAGCTGGAGCACGATCGAGAAGGACCGAGAACGCGGAAATGGTTCTCACGTTGCAGCGAGGGCACCATCTTGGAAGGACCGTAGCCGTCTGGGCCGGAAGAACACCTAAGAAACATCATTTGTTGTAAGTCGGGCTTGTCCTTCTACGGGAGGAATATTCGAACAATAGTCCAAGAATAGTCTGGGGACGATGTATTGACTATTTGGGAGCATGTTTGGATTTTTTTTTTAGTATCTCAAATTTTTCATACAAAATCCCCCTGTAGGGGGACACGCCCGACCTTGTTTGAACCCTGTGTGTAATAACAGCACGCGGAGGGGGACGCGATACTCTCGACACGCCCTCGGGGGAGAGAGGAGAGCAGCATTCATGTGGTGTAAGTGTGGAGAGGGCGAGGAGGAGGAGGAGCAGGAGGAGAAAGAGCAGGAGGAGGAGGAGCAGGAGGAGGAGGAGGAGGAGGAGGGCGACGACGACGACGACGACGAGGAGGAGGAGGAGGAGAAAGAGCAGGAGGAGGAGGGGCAGGAGGAGAAGAAGGAGGAGGAGGAGGAGGAGAACGAGCAGGAGGAGGAGGAGGAGGAGGAGGAGGAGGAGGAGGAGGAGGGCGACGACGAGGAGGGGGAGGAGGAGCATGCGGTGAGACTGAAACGAAGAGATCGGACGTCGTGATTTTCTCCATGCGGGGCCCCCCCGTGAAAAAAAGTAAACGCCCCAGGGATCCGTTCCCGTTCCCGTTCCCGCTCGAGCTCCCGCTCCCGCTCCCGATCCCGCTCCCGTTCCCGTCGTCGTCGTCGTCGTCGTCGTCGTCGTCGTCGTCGTCGTCGTCGTCGTCGTCGTCGTCGTCGTCGTCGTCCCGTCGTCCCGTCGTGGTCGTCGTGGTCGTGGTCGTCGTCGGGAACGGGAACGGGAACGGGAACGGAACGGGAACGGGAACGAGAACGGGAACGGGAACGGGAACGGGAACGGACCTATAGGGCGTTCTCGCCCTTTTACAGGGCCCCCCCCCTTCCCTGGCACCCCGGCACCCCCAAACTCACACGCCGGATCGGCGAATTTTTGGTGTGGGAACGTCATGCTTGCCATCGCAGAACCACCGAAACCCAAGAAGCCCAGGGCACGTTGGAGGCAAGCAGGGTGTTTCTTGGCAAGGGCCTCCACTGCATCCTTTCGCACCTCCCTCCGGACGAGACAGCGGCGCCTCTCCGCGCGCAGTCGGGGACTCGTCAGTCGGCCAGCACGTCCTCGGCTCCCCAAACCGGCCACCCACATGCCTGGGGCCGCGGGCAACGCTCGGAGGAGGGCCACTGGGGACCGCGGCGGCCGCCCAGCTCAGCTCCAGGTGCGTCCCTGGAGCCCTCCCCGAGTGCATCCCGACTTGGCATTCGAGGCCAGTCCAGCCGTGGCGACGAGAAGCCTCCAGTCGGAAAACGTAAGACTCGAGTGCGCCAGAGCTCGGGTTTGCCGACGCTTTCTGACGTTTTTGACGGCCCAGTTTTCGTGGGATGTGCGCAGCGGGAGTGCGCGTCAAATTTCAGACTGGGCCACGTCATCTTCACGATGGCCCCGTCGGGCCAACCCGAGTCCCCAGAACCCGAGCCTCACGTCTCCCCGATCCAGGAGGCCCGGACAGGCCGAAGAACACCGCGGCAGGCCGACATTGTCTCGACGAGCCCTCCTCTTCCTCCTTCCCTCTTACTCCCCTCCCTCCGTGGAACAAGTGGGGCGGTCATCCCTCGCCGCGGCCGAGGTGCATACATCGCGCAGACAGACTACTACGCTGTCAACGCGATTCCGGACAAGAGGTAGTGATACCGAGAACACGGTTCATGACAGGTCAGGAACGACCAAACCATTCACGGGGGGAGGAGGAGGAGAAGGAAGAGGAGGAGGAGGAGGAGGACCAGTGCAAACCCAAGATTCATCAACGATGTTGGAATCGACCCTCCCTCCAAGCTCCCTCTTCATAGACCCCTACAAGGGTTCATCTCCACTGAGGGGAGGGCCCTGTTGGGAGACAACCGCTTGAAGATCCCGGAGCGTCCAAAGCAGCATTCCCATGACGTCAACGCCACGAGTCAACCAGATGGTTGTGTCTTGACGATCTTGAACCGTGCTAGAACACAGCTCGAGGGAGCTCAACACCGCGAATCAACATACTACTGCTGCACCCTGGCAATCCAGAATCGTTTCAGAACATTATGCCTGGTACGTTAGCCAAGATAAACAGTAAAAGCCCTGCACCTTCTATTAACGAATGTGCGCGGCGCTAAGGCGAGAGCCACATGTTGAAAAACACCTGTCCTCAATCCGTGAAGTTCTTGCACAAAATTTTAAATCCGAATGTGCGTGCCGCGATGGCGAGAGCCACATGTTGAAAACCACTTGTTCTCAATGCGCGAAGCTCCTACACTTGTTCCCAACCCTCCCTTGGTTGGGTTCTCGTTTTGAATCGAGCACTGAGGTCTGCACCTCCTCCCATCCTCCTCCGCCTTGTCATTCCCCTCCTCCTGCTGTTGCTCCTCCTCCTCCTCCCCCTCCTCCTCCTCCTCCTCCTCCTCCTCCTCCTCCTCCTCCTCCTCCTCCTCCTCCTCCCGTAGTCAGTTTGGCTCAAGATGTCTTGTGTCCCCTGGACCAGAAGTGGATACCTCTAGTCCGGGGTTAGCTCCCGCTTCAGGCAACTCCAGTCGAACTGCGCGCTGCTGGGGCCAAGAGTCTTCTGGTGCTGCCGTGGCGGAAGGGCTGCCCCTTCCTTGGCCTGGCTGCTTCGGCTTCTGAGCACCACGGCGCACGTTCGCCGCAGCTGTGTGACTCCACGCATTCCGACCCTCACTGTCTGGCTCATCCTGCATTTCTCACTCGCGCCATGGGAGTTGCGGGTGCGCCCTCTGCACGCGAGCCTGGCACCCGCAGCCGCTCTGGTGAACGACGCTCGACAGCCTCGGGATGCGCGGGGTCCCCTGCCTCGACGGTCGACTCGCTGCAACAGAGCGATCCATGGCGACCACCGGGGGATGGAGATGCGGTTTCTACTATGCAACGGGGTATCGCTGCCCCCGGATTGCGAATCCAGGCCTCGCTCAAGAAGCAGATGGAAGACGCTGCCGGCGCCATCCAGAACACTGTCTCCGCATCATTCAGCTCCATCTCCGCGGAGATCGATGAGAAGATCAGACCGCCGGTGGAGCGCATCGACAAGCACAAACATGAGCTCACGGCTCTCCAGGCGACCACGGCGAAGCTGGCGACCGACAACTCAGAGATGCGGGAACAGACCCAAGCCACGCAGCACACGCTCGCGCAGGTGGTCGAGCTTGGCCGTAGTAGCGCGCCTGACATCATGCGCCTCGCCACCTGGGATCGCGCTCCCGACCCTCAGCTATTCGTCGCCAATTGCAAGGGGGTTGTCACCCCGCAGGCCATCAGGGACGCGATCGCATCATGAAGTCAGACAGCCTCCGTGGACTTTGACTGCATCACGATCAACGAGAAGGAGCCCGCCAAGCGCTTCCACCTATACGTTCCTGGCGCTGCCGAAGGCAAGGCCAGGGCGCTCAACCTCGCCAACCATCTCAAGCTGTCCAGTGGCAAGTGGAGAGAGAGTTCAGCGCGCTGGCTACGGATGGACGACAGGAGCGGCTCTACATCAACTAAGACAAGAGCCCGAAGGCAATACGTTTGGAGGCTCACGCGAAGAAGTTGCTGGGACTATGCCAGCAAGCCACAGCGGGAGACTGGTGGATGCAGCGCAACGCGGGCCTGGTCCATTGCGGGGCGACTCCTGTTGCGGAGGTGGTCGCGACGGGCATGGAGGAGGCGTCCAAGGTCAACTGGAGTCCAGCTGCGCGTTCCGAACTCCAGCTGGGTACCATTGCCATCACGGGCGCCTTCCGTCAGCTCTTCCGCGCTGTCGATACCAGCTCACGGTCGTCCTCCCAGCAGTCGGTGGGCCCCGTGGCTGCGCCCGGGCGATGCCACTACCTGCAGGATTGTTTCATGGAACGCACGTGGGCTGCTCCGCCGTGATCGGCAGAAGCGGCAGCGGAAATTGGCCAAGCTACATGATTGGATGCGACGCAAAGCTATCTTAGAACTGCAAGAAGTCCATGGGTTTGGCATGACGTTGCGGAACCTCACCAAGAGAACCACCCATCACTACAAGGTCTACTTCAGTGGCACCGTCACTTCGGCAGCCGACGGTGTTGCCATCTTAGTGTTAATTGTCGACGCGACTGGACTAACAGAGTTCGATGGACCGATCTTCGCACACAAAGGCATTGCCCCTGGACGCGCAGATGTTGCACACTCAGAACCCGAAGACTCGAGCTGAAGTACACATTTGCAATGCACACAATGTTGAGATCAATACCGCGGGCAGGGCTGCGATGAAGCGCCGCTGGGAGGATAATAGAAAGTGGGCACATGCGGCTCCACAACATCGGCTTTTCGCTACCCTTGGGGACTTCGATTTCCGCGGCAAACCACATGCAAATCTACTTCGACCGCAGCCGCGCCAGGCACAAAGGTCGACGGAGGGCAGAGTGAATCACTCGGAGCCTTTCTGGCGCAATATGCTCAGTGGGTCACGGTGCACGACAGAGATCGCCGCGCCCAGCCCGTCGCACCCCGACAAGCATACGAACCAGATGACATGCATTGACAGGATCTTCGCGTCGCTCCCACCAGAGGACAGGCGGGAGACAAAGATCGCGGCCAACGCGAAGCACGACGCCAAGGAACTCTCGCTGCGGGGCCTCAGCGATCACGCAATGATCGAGCCGGCGATGGAGACTCGGACGGAGGCTCGGAAGCACGAGCAGGCCACCCCGCCATTCATCTTCGACACTGACGCCGACGCGAAGCAGCTTGAGGTCAACAGCGCCGCCAGTGCGTTGGAGGACATGTCGACCCAGGCGCAGTGGGGGCGCGTCGCGCGCCAGATGACGCCGGCGACGGAGACGGCGCGCAACCACATGATGCAGACCGACGTCGGCGAGCAGACTGAGGGCGCGCTGGAGGCCAAGGCGATGGCACTGCGGGCGGTGGCGCGCGCTGCCTGCAGGCAGGACATGCGCCTCGCGGAGCGGCTCAGCCTTAATTCCGCGATGGGCGCGCAGCGCCTGCGCATGGCAGGCAACGTCATCAGCACCATCGACGAGCGCGCGTTCGAGGCGGAGGTCCTGGCGTGCAACGCGGCACGCTCTGACCGCGCCTTGCAGAGTGCCAGGCCAGCCCATGGCGGGATGGGGGGCAGACTTGGCGGGGGGGCCGCAGAGAAAGCTTTTCGTCGCGCGTTGCTTTCAAAACCCCAGGGCCGCCGTCTGGTTTCGCAAGGCACTCAGCATTTCCAAGAAGGTCGCGGGGACACGTTTCTCCGAGGTGCCCAAAAGATGCCCGATGCGATCGCGGCCCATTGGGAGCGAGCATTTAAGGAGAGAGTTGAGGACACCCCAGCCCATGATGCCTTCGTTGAGGAGCACTTCCCCCCCTGAGCCTTCCGATCCCCCCCCCCCCCCCCCTACCCCTGAAGACCTCCAGCCGGCTCTCGAGCGGGGTAAGTCTTCCCCCCCTGGGCCCGACAGACTCACTTACAAAGCCTGGCTTGCTTGCCCCAGGCTTGCCCTCGTCCTCCGCGCCCTTCTGCCCTTTCTTTTCCACGCCCCTCCCCCCCCCCCCCCACACACACACACACACACACACGCGCGCGCACACGCGCGCGCGCGCCGCCCGCCCACCCACCCACCACCCACCCACCCACCCACACACACCAAAAAAGAAGAACAAACAAGAAACAAACTTGAATCGTAGCGCGTTTGCCTTCATCCGCACAGGCGAAGAGGAGTTCGACCCTGTGGGCTGCGCGAGGCACCCAGGACAACTGCGCCCATTAAGTTTGGAAAATTGTCGATGCTAAGGCGATGGCCACTTCCATCGAGAGATGCCTGAAGCGAGTAGCGGAAGCTCACGCGCGCACACACGCACACGCACACTCTGTGCAGCCAGGCTGTGTCAATGGCCGGAATGTTGCCAGACATCTAATCAGACTCGAAGTTCTGTGTAGAATAGCCCGTCGAGGAACATATACTGAACAACGCATGCAAGCCTTCGTTAGCTACGGCGTCAAGGCAGCCTGTCCAAGCATGAGTCAGATCTGGCTAGGTAGAGCCCACTCGCGATCCCAGATCCCCACCCCCTATATCCGCGCCATTCGCGCTGTAATGCGCGGTGCTGCTGGGTTTATCAGGGTGGGGTCGGAGCTCCGAGAGTTTTTCGCCCTGTCCTCAGGCGCGCCTCAAGGCTGCCCCCTCTCGGGCACTCTCTGGGCCCTCGGCATAGGCCCCATCATTCGCGCGCCCATCGAATCCGCGGGAGGCTCGAAGGAGGAACACGGGCGCTGATGATGTTGGATGGCGCTAGGCAACATTCGTCTCATCCCCATCGCTCCTCCCTCCCTTTGAGGTTGCTGTTGCCCCTGCTGGCCTCCTTCTCCGACCACAGCAATGTTGCCTTGTGCCTCTTTGGAGCGAGCCGAGCGACTCAGTCCTCAACGGCGCTGGGGCTTTTCTCCAAGCATCTGCCACTCCATGTTGAGATTTTGCAATTGAGTCCGCCACGAGATATTTAGGTGCATCGTTTGGACCAGGCGCGACCCTGGAATATGAATGGGACGCCGCCGGGCAGAAGTGGTGGAGTCGAGCGAGAGAGTAAAGCTCCAACGGCAGCATCCATCATTTTTTACAATGTTCGTGCCATCAGCGTGGTTCTCCCATCATCCTGGATAAAGAGCGGTGGGCTCTGCGCAAAATGCT